AACGAAAACTATAATGCGATGATGATCGTTTTGCTGGCGAAAATGACATGAATATCAGACAATTAAATATATCGATTTTCTGACCACCCCTTCTTTACACTGTATTTTAAGTTGATCAATGCTTGATGAAAAATTAGTTCTAGCTCATCTGCTCATGCTTAATTCTTCCTTCTTTCCTTCCGTTTCTTTTACTCCCTATCTCCTCCTGTCCCTCTCTCCTGTCCCCCTGTCTTCACTCCCACTCTCGTTGTTTCTCTTCCCTTCACTTTTAAAACCTCTATATTGAAACTTTTCTTTTTCTTTCTTCCTCTTTTCTTTTTCACTTTCATTTTTTTCCTCTCCCTTTTCCTTTCGTCTTGATAAATTGAATTATTTTAGTAAAAAAATGGTCTGAAGAGAAAAAAATATTTGAATATTCTTGAAACATTATATAACCGAATAAATTTTTTAAAAAAGTCTGTAGTAATTATTATATTGCTCTGTTACTTACATTTTAGCCTATTATATATATATATATATATATATATATATATATATATATATATATATATATATATATATATATATAATATCAACTGTTAATTAATAGGACAATTCCAATGAGAGCATTAGTCCAAAGAGAGCTCAATGTAAGTAACAGAGCAGTATAATAATGACTACAGACTCTCCTTAAAAATACATTACTATATATATATATATATATATATATATATATATATATATATATATATATATATATATATTATTATATATATATAATTATATATATATATATATATATATATATATATATATATATATATATGTGTGTGTGTGTGTGTCGGTGTGGGTGTGTAATAGATTAGCATAAAATGTATGTTCTGCAGATGATCTTATTTCAAATTTTTGCCGATAGGCGGCACCCGTGCGTTGTTTTCAGCTCCAACATCGATTTTGAATTCAGATTTGTTTCTATTTGTGCTCTGCCATTGCCTGTCTTTCAGTTAGAATACATAATTAAAGTGCAAGTTTTCTTTCTAAGCGTAAGGCTATATTGCAAAAGTAAATTCGGAAATGAATTAGTTAAAATTCAGAATACTGAAAACAAATTACGTAAAAATTGTATAAGGCAATGGGGAGTGCTAATTAGCGGTTAATATTGTGGTTATTTCGACTTAAGACGTTTTTCGACATAAGTTGTTACTTCTGAAACCAATGAACGACGTAGTGTATATATATATATATATATATATATATATATATATATATATATATATATATATATATATATATGACGCGTTACAGGATGCTCTACTTACATATCCTCGAGATACTTATTTTACCTGAGCTAGGATATCGACTAAACAAAGTCGAACACAATATACTTATATATATATAATTTATATACATATATATATAATTTACATACAAAATGGATGTACACAATTCTTACCGTTCTTAGATATCAAGCTACACCGCGTTAACAAGGATTTATAACATAGTGTCTCCTGAAAATCAAAGAAGAAGAACGACGTCATAAATCTACTTAAAGACTTTCAGAATAAGCCGGATTATTACGTGAATAGGAGAAATACATTGAAAACACATTCAAACTTCTCCGGTGATCCACTTATTTTATATTCAATGTGAAAGAAATGCCCCACAAAATATTCCAAATCCAAAAAAGAGGTATCTCCTGAAAAATCCAATGAATCAAAAAATATATTATCCTATCAATTAACTCTATCACATGAAAATCTAAACTCAACATACAATTTGTTTCTACGACATAGAAAACAATAAAAAAAACTTAGTATCTACTAAACAAAACAATAAGCTAAAACCTGAAAATGAGTTTACTCCATCGCCTCTCATAATAATCACACAAAATACATAGGGGCATCATTAATGAAACTAAATGAAAGATTATATAACAAAAAAGGAAAAGATAATAAGAAAAGAATACCTCGAATACTTTGGTCATCCACCGGAAATGAGACAGATTAAAAATAAAATAATTTAGTACGACTTAAATAACTATAAAGCGTTTTAATGGCAAAGTCATCTAGAGTAGATATGCACCCTGGCTTTTTCAACATTTCACTATCCCTGGCAGATCTTCTGTTATTAATGATAATTAATAGGAATCTAGGACATTTACTAACAAATGTCATAGAAAGAAAAAAAACTATATGAATTCGGCTAGGTACTAAATAAAAAAAAAATCTAAAATCACCAGCACCGCTCGTTCGTGTGCATATGCATTCGTACCAACATAACGACTTTAATCCGATGAAGTTCTGAAAGACAAAACGCGTTACATGTAAACTTTTTACACTATGTCATATAATTTCCCATATATATACAGTATGAGGCAAAGAAAATGGACGCACGCATAGAAATGATGATGAACCAAATATAAGGCTTATTACATTTGTATTTGTATTTACATTTATTAAAATTTTTTAGAATTGTTCAAACTTCGAGAAAGGCCAAGTGTCCGCTTTCATGATTTTAGGCTGACGAACAGAGCGATAGCTCATAAGTTTCATCGAAGTGAGTCATGTGTTCGTGAGTTAATTAAAAAGAGAAATCATACTGGAACATATGATAGACGTAGCGGATCTGGCCGACAACAGCACAAGATGCTTCCAAATCGGCTAGTTTAGTGGTTTCTTCAAGAACAGTCAGAAGCAGGCTAAAAGCAAAAGGCATTGTTTCCAAATACATAAAAAAAAAAATTTCGTATCTGGGAAAAAAACAACTGGCATGGATGGCTTAGCGCAGTGCTCATTTACATTGGATTAAATCTGATTGTGAAGATGGTATGTGAAGTGACGATAGTCCCTTTTCCTTGGAGATATGGAAGACGAATATGTGTTTGATGTACACCCGCTGAAACGAATACTACAGTTACTGAAACGAAAAAAAATCAAGGTTCCTTGCGCATTCTCAGCTGCTCAGGATTTGGTAATTTGTACAAAATCAAAGGAATCATGGACCAGCTTCAATACAACACCATTCTTGTTAAGCAAATGTGGATTTCTGTTAAAAAAATATTTTTGTCCAAGGTCAATGCTTCACGTTCCAACATGAAAACGATCCTAATCATACTACCTTAAAGAATAAACGTTATCTAGCGTGGAAACGCGATGAGAGTCAATTGCAACACTTCCAGCGGCAAAGTCAGAGTTCTGACCTTCTCCAGATCTTTGGCCGATAATAGACAAGCGTGCCTGTAATATTATTTTTAAAACAGAAGATGAGCTTCTTCGGGAATTAAAGAAATGCTGGAAAAATCTAGCGGAAGATGTTGATTTACTAAAGAATTCAGTCTATCGCATGCCACAAAGAATTAAGGCATCTTTTAAAGTAAAATATTACCCAACAAAATACTAAATGATTTTTGACTTGTATAATGTACATATGGGCACTGGTATTTATACCCTGTATTAATAAACGAATTCAATTATTCACTTGTGTTGGTAAAAATACAAAAATCGATTTTCTATCGATGCGTCCATTTTTTTTACCACGTACTTCTAAAACCCTTTCATTCTGTTTCATTTCCAGTGACCCCTTTGGCTTTAGTAGCAGAATCGCTGTGCTTAGGGTGAATTTCCTAAAAAAAGAAGATTGGTATGATCACAATATTCAATAAATCAATAAATGTCCAATGGACCTATCTTCCTGATTGAGCCAAGAAACACGGCACTCGATCAATGAGAGCAGTTTATTCAATATTTATGGATACGATATGATTTATTGAATATGTATTCATACAAACAAATTTACACGCACACACTCACATATATATATATATATATATATATATATATATATATATATATATATATATGTGTGTGTGTGTGTGTGTTTGTTTGTGTGAATATATATTCAATAAATCGTTACATTACTTAGATATTAGATATATTCACACATATATATTCAATAAATATATATATATATATATATATATATATATATATATATATATATATATATATACAGTTTTTGAATGGGTAATTTGCCATCATTTTATTTATTTAATTTCGCATACGCGTTGTTTGCTTTTTGATTTTTCGATTGCACAATATGGTAAGGTCAGTTCTTCACAGTCTGTGAGAAAAAGAGCACCATGACGCAATTCACTCCGCCGGAAATTTAGAAACGGCATGATTAGTTGGACCAGTCTAATGGTAGTTCGGAAATATCTATCAAATCATTCCCATATAAAAGAACGCCCAAATTGTTTGGTAAGGGCCTCAGACGTAACACACGGACCTAAGTAAAGTCCCTTGAGGAGATAGTGTGTCTGGGTCTAGAGTGGAGCTGCTGAAAGAACGTATGTTTTTATAACGCAAGGTGGAGATTAAATAATCTGCAAGTTTCTGAAAGACATTTTTGACTTTGTCGAAGCTGAAGAATTTGTATTCGCCAGTCACAGTCCATAAACAGTGAAAAACACCCAATATGGTGAATCGTGGCGTATTTAGGAAATTGTGAGTTGCGTACAGACCAAATTTTGTATATCTGAGATCTTATACTAATCAAATTGTCTTAATGACTCTTAATCTATGTGACCTACAGCAATTTGTGGTTATTGTATGTAGCAGACTAATATTATTAAATTTAATTCCTCTTAATATCCTACATTCTCACGCTCCTCATGAGCGTTTGATGAAAGTTTGTTGGCACGATGAAAAAAGATATTTCAATTTTGATATTTGGAAATTTGGCCAATTTTGGGGCCACATGTTGAACTTATGTCGATTGATTGTTTCCTTTTCTACGGCTTATCAATTTTTACATGTTTTTTAAAACCTGAAAATTGTTTCAGCTTGTAAGTATTTTTTAATATAATGATACCTATCTTATTAATTGATACATAGCTTGAGGCAAAAGAGTTCTATCCATCCCTTCTCCAATGTTATTTGTGCATAATTGAATATAACTGACCCAACTGGTATTTGAACTCGGCTCTCCGATTAATTATTCAGTTACACCATCCGCACATCCAAGCTTGCAGCGCCTGCTATTCCCAAGCGGTCACTCATCTACATACAGACCAGGTTCAACGTTAATTAACTTCGGAGATCTTACAGGAACCTGTGTTTCAAAATGATATGGCCTTAAGCGCACGAGCTTAGAGATTTTCAGCACCCTCTCATATAATTAAAGACGCCAGTATGAGATACTCTGTGTTCTCTCATGATTAATATATTGAAAAAGAGTTCCAATGTACTCAGTGGCAGATATCCACACAAAACAGAAATGAGATCAGGAAACTTCCGTTACATTTCACGATTTTAGCTTCTACCGAGAAACCATTGTCTTGAATTCGGAATTGCGCGACAAGAAATCCTGATTTTAAATTTGATTAGCAGAGAGAAGAATGCTCAGAATCTGCCGATGTGTCCATTGCGAGGTTAAACATTTTTTTTTGTTCATTGGCCTCTTGGATTTCTATGGTGTCTTGCTTTTATTTATTCATTTGATTTTTTCTATCATGCATTCACATTCGTTGCTAAGTCGCCGGTTTTCTAGTGAAACGTCTGCCGTTCCCAGCCGCGAGTTTCCTTGCCCGTTGCAAAAGCGTGGCGACGTTATCTGCATGAAGACAATACGTTCTTTGTTGCATCGTTTGACTCGAAGCAAAACCATATTGGAATGAGGAATATGCTTTTGCCATTCTGAGTTTATGGAATACGCGCCTGGAAGCAGACAAGTGGCGAACGAAGGAATACTCAAAGAAGTAATAGACGTTATAAGATGTGTTTGTTAACGAGCACAGGCGTGGAAAGTAAAAACAACGAACCGAGTTCAAATTCCGACGGTGGATTTTATATGAAGTTTCCCCACAGGTACCGTTGTTAATGGCATGCATATATATATATATATATATATATATATATATATATATATATATATATATATATATATATATATACTGCGTGCCGAATTATTATCGAGATAATTTTTCTAATATTTCAAAAACCGTCCAATCAATTCACACAAAATTTTCACGCAATATTGGCAACACTAACCTGCGTAATTATTGAATTTCGTACTGATCTGCGCAAGGTAAACAAACTGGCGCCATATTTGTTATCAGCATGGTGATTTGAGCGTGCCAAATTATTAGAAAAGTGTAAGAATTTAGTGAAAAGGTGGGCCGTAAAAGCAGTTTAAGTGATGCTGAAAAGAAAACTATCACCTAATAATAATTTAGCACGCAGTGTATATATATATATATATATATATATATATATATATATATATATATATTAACTCGAATGAGTTAAATAGTAGGGTAAACCGGATTTATTAGTCTTAAGTAGCACATTGCTTTGAAAAATATATTGGGACTCTAATTTATAGAGAAAACTAAACCGAAATTATTCCACTATATGTACCGAGTGTAACAACAAAATTATCTATTTGTTAAATTAGGTTTTAAACCATTGTACGTTAGAAATGATTAAAATTATCTTACTCGAATTGCCCGAGGTTTTTATAACTCTACTGGACTCTATTTTGAACAATAAGAATGTATATAGCTCTCAGTTGAAATGATGACCCGTCTTCCTGTTAGGATTTCCTGATCCTGTTTTCCTCTCTCCTACTCCCTTTTTTTCACTGTACTCTTTGTGTTTTTTGAATGGAATTTTAAAATGGAAACCAGTGTATGAACGTTCATACGATTACTGAAGGCTCTTTTTGCTTTGAACATTGCTCACTTGAAAAGATACAGTTAGGATGACACAACAAAGTTTATTCTGTTAAATCTCTAGCTGAATATCTCAAAGGATTTTCAGTGATTCTTACGACAAATGGTGTCAAAATGGCTAAACGTCTTACTTGAATACCTCGAAAAAGTAACTTAATCGTTTAGTGATTTTTTTTTCAGATATTAAAGATTTTGCGGTATGGAAAATCATCCCATGTTGTTAAACGATTTAGACAATTTTTCTGTTACATAAGGTATATATATATATATATATATATATATATATATATATATATATATATATATATATATATATGTAAGGATTTGTTCTTTGAAATATCTTTTGTTTTCATTTATTCGTTCGCATTTAACTGATACTCTACATATATACTGAATATTAAAACGGACACATGCAAATTTATTCCGCAGTACGCTGGTCTTCTGTCAGTGTGGAGAATGTTGGTCACTTGAAGCTAAACCTGGGCGTAGATTAATATTTGGGTAATTTTCTATGGCGGCACTCTCCTGAATTTTCCTTCTGAGTGAGTTATTTTCTATTTTTATGAGTGTAACATTTTTTAAATCAAAATTATGGTTGAATTTTTTTTTTAAGTGCATTAGCTAAGTTGTTTTTTTTTGTGATGACTCTTTTGTGCTCATAAATGCGTTTTTTTAAACTTCTACTTGTTTCTCCAATATATTGGGAGGTACAGTATTGGCAATTTATTTTATAAATGCCTGCTTCAGAAATATTAGTGCTTGATGATCTTAGTATATCCATAATGGTTTTCGAAGTGTTTGTGACTATTTCAAGATTATTTAGATGGGATAGGTTATTTAGGATCGTGGACATGACAGAATTGGTCGGTAGTATTATGTATCTGTTTTCATGTGATTTACAATTGCAGATTATGTTATTAGTTTTGTTTCGTTTGTATATTCTGTATGCCTTTCTTCTTGCGTTGTGGATGAAATGATATGGGTATTGTAGGTTTTTCAATGTGTTTTCTATGTATGTTTCTTTTTTTAAATAAATATTGAGGACTACAGATTCTTAATGCTCCTAGATAGAAACCTATAATAATTCCAGATTAAATTTTTGAAGGGTGGTTTGAGTAGAAACTGATCGAATCATTTTTGTTTGTAGCCTTTCTGTAAACGTCAAAATTGAGTTCGTTATTATTTCTAATTAACAAAATGTCCAGGAACGGAAGAGTGTAGTTGGTTTCAGTTTCGAAAGTGAAGTTTATTGGAGGTTAAATTTTGTTAAGTTTGGAGAGAAGATCCGGTAAATTGGTGTTTTTTTTTTTAATTATTAATAATGAGTCGTCTATGTATCTGAAATATGAAGAGTTTGTAGGGATAATATTTTTGAATGAGTCACTTTCTAAAAATTCTAAAAATACACACGCAAGAACGCCGCTGAGAGGAGATCCCATTGGCAAACCAAATTTCTGTTTGTAATGTTGGTTAATAAAAGTAAAGAAGCATAGTTTGATAATTAGTTGGCACATTTTTATAATTTTGTGTATAGATATAGGTGATTTGATTTTTGCATTTGTTAGGTGTTTTTTTTAGTAAATTTAAGCATTTATCTATGGGGACATTTGTATAAAGAGAATTTATATCTAAACTAGTCATAAATTTGTTTCTAATGTCTATGTTTTTTAATTTGTTTAAGAGGTCACCTGAATTTTTTTTATGTGTGATAGATTAATAGTGACGAGAAGTGGAGTTAAAATTCTGCTTAGTTTGTGTGCTATTTTATGTGAAGCGTTGCCTATCCCTGATATGATAGGTCTCATTTGTATGTTCGGTTTATGCGTTTTTGGTAATCCATATAATATGGGTGGTATTCAATGAGCTTTAACCAGGAGAAATCTTCATTTTTTAGTAGTTTTTTAATGTTGCTTGAAAACTTTTGTGTTTCTTTTATAGCTATGTTTACATTTACTTTTTCATAGATGTTATCATCATTAATGAGCTCCCTCATCTTCTGTTGGTAAATGTGTTTATCCATAATTACAATTCCCATGCCCTTATCAGAAGTAGATATATGGATGATTTTGTTGTTAGCTAATACTTTTAGGGCTTTGATGTATCTTCGAGGAAGTGCAGTGTCGTTCGTATTTTTGTGTGTAGCTGTGATTAGGCCCTGGATATAGCCTTTGGTAAAATCGGAGTCATTGTGGCGATGATTTTTGATTATGTAATCTGTGGCATCATAGTTCCCAGGTAATATCTACACACACACACACATATATATATATATATATATATATATATATATATATATATATGTGTGTGTGTGTGTGTGTGTGTGTGTGTGTGTGTGTTTGTCATCACCAAAAGTATTGGAACGGCAACGCCATATCCATTTTTCTAGTTCATTGAAGACATTTGGGTTTAAGATCAAAAGATGAATATGAGACACGATTTCAGAATTTCACTTTTATTTCCTGGTATTTACATTTAATTACCTTAAACAACTTAGGACATACCACTTTTTGTTTGAACTAACCCATTTTTTTAATTGAGCTTTTGTGACGTCTTTCTGACAGCAAAACAATGTTCATGTAAACATATGTTCAAAAGGTCATCGTTTTACATCAACATACCAACTTATAATATATATATATATATGTGTGTGTGTGTGGTTTCATAGATAAATTTTCGCTTAAATTGCGCCAAAATGAAAATAACATTGACATCACATCTTCACAGCACTATTTACAACAATTGCACACAAATAACATGAATTAGTGATGAATATGAGACATGATTTCAGGATTTCAGCTTTTATTTCCTGATATTTATATTTAGATGTATTAAACGACTTAGGATATACCACCTTTTGTTTGAACTAACCCCTCTTTTAATTGAGCAAATCTAATAGAATACGTGACTGACATGTGTTTCTTATTGCTTAGGCGTTGCATTTTAGATTGAGTACTTAAAAATTAAATATATCTGAATGACTACTCTTTGTTTTATCCTTGGTTTCACCTGTAGATGCATTTGATGTTGAAATTGATAAACTAAAATGAAGGCGGAGATGTGTCTATGAAAGAAATGCAAACCACTTTGAAGCTGAGAAAAAAGGAAAAGTCGATCAGAGCCATTGGAACAACATTAGGCACAGCCAGCGCAACAATTTGGAATGTTCTGGAAAAGGAATTACTGGCTTACTGAGCAACAGACATAGAACGGATCGACAAGGAAAACAATAGCAGTTTATGAGAGAAACATTGTGAGAGCTGTGAAGAAAAACCCGATAACAACTGTCAGTGACATCACCAAAAATCTCCATTGTGCAGCCATGAAGGTTTCAAAATTCGCCATTTGAAGAAGACAACGAAGACATAAATACAGAGGAAATATCTCTAAAAGCGAATCAAACATA